TTTCCACTTCTTTGATCTCCTGTTTTACCTTCATTTTGCTCAGAGTAATTCCTTCCTACCTACTTGTGATTTCCATCCATTGGTAGTGGTACATCTATTTTTCCAGCATTACTTACATTTATAGGATCAACTTGCTGAGTTTTTTGCTCCAGGCCTGAACTTCCAGTAGTAGCAGGTACTTTTGGAACCCATATCTTTCTGGTAGCTACCTTCCTACACTTCTCAGTTTTATGCCCTATCAAATTACAATGAGAGCACCAACTAGGCTTAAATTCATATAACACCTTTTGGTTATAATTCTTCCCTTCAGGCCCTTGAATTACAATTTGATCTGGTAAAGGCTCTTTCAAAGGAAGTTCAACTTTAAGAAGAACTCTAGCATAACTCAATCTCTGCCTTGTTGCTATAAGTTTATCAGTAGTGATAGGACAACCAATTAGACTAGCAACTTTATTAATACCAATAGAGCTCCATAGATTTAACCTCAGATTAGGAAATTGCACCCACATAGGGTATTTATGCTCTTGAATTTCCTCCAAATCTATATTTATAGTCCATGGCTTAAGAACTAATGGCCTGGAGCCAAAGAACCAAGGGCCTCCCTCTAAAACTTCTCTCATTTTTTGTTCTGTTTGAAATTCATACAAGAAAACACCTTGTTTGATCCAGAAGACCTTTGGAATTGAAATTGAACCCCAAATTTTGGCAATATAGGATTCCATAGCTTTGGACCTTTGGAATTGAAATTGAACCCCAAATTTTGGCAATATAGGATTCCATAGCTTTGAAACCAACATTAATTCCAATAACATGACCTATGAGCCCAAATTTTGGCAATATAGGATTCCATAGCTTTGAAACCAACATTAATTCCAATAACATGACCTATGAGGGCATTTTTCCACAGATCCTCCCCCTCTTTCCACTCCTCCACATAAAAGGTAGCAGTATTTGCTTTAGAATGAGGGACAAAATTCAATGATAAGCCTTTACCAGCACTCCTGTTATCAGCAAACAAGCTTACAAAAGATTTTTTAGGTTCATTTCCTTCCTTTGATCCCTTATCAATAGGATTAACTGGACCTTGATTGATGCAACCAGAGTCAATTCAAGGAATCATGAGTTTTCTCATCAGAAGCATCTGGTTTATTTGATTCCGATTCAAGAATTATGATGTTTTCTTTAACAGGAACAGATTCAGAATTCTTAATGCCAGAATTCAATTTATCATGAATCATCATAACAGAAGGATTAGAACTGCTCAAATTCAATGGAACAGCAATCTTCTTTCCAGAGATATCTTCCATCTCAATTTCATCAGCCCAAGAAACTTTAGAAAAGTTATTAGCATAGTTCGTTGACATACCATGGCAATTTTTGCTCAAATCTGCTGAAATCTGAGAAGATTCTCCTAAGAAATCACTCGATCTATTGATCTCTGATAGCAGCTTCTTCTTCTTTTCTCCTCTAGGCCCTGTCGATCCCATTACTAGATCAAAATCTTCATCTTCTTCCACAATTCGCACATCAGATTGATCTATAGGAGATTGCAAACTCGAATTCAAAGCTCTCAATCCTATATTCAAGATTCGTTTCCCTCTATTGCTCTTTTTCTCGTCATTCAATTCTTGGCGGGGGCGCACTTTAGCAGAAGAATTTTCGTCTGCTAAAATGCACCATCAGATCCCGCCCTTATGATATTGCTACTCACTCCAGACCTTAGTCAACGAACATGTCGTAAAAAATTACCTCTCAATTCTTCAATATTGTCTTTTATAACTTTTGTTTGATTAGGAGAAAATTATTAATATAGAAAAGTTTACCATATTTTAATTAATTAGTTCTAATTACATTCTTAATGAAAAGGTTTCATCTTCTCCATCCATGGCTACCACATCTCTTTATCATCTATTGCCTCATCTAGCTCATACACTACATCAAACACCACCTTCTCATCTTCTCGTCCTCCCAACGATCTCTTTACCTATATACTTCAAAATTATTCTCAGCAGCTTCCTATGACCCTAAGTTTAGTGAGCAGGGGTTCTCTTTTTTTCCCCCTCCTTTGAAGCAAGTTTGTCTTGATTTTGACCTTGTTTAGTCTACTTGTTAGTCTCAATTACTTGACAGACCTAAACTCCTTACTCTAGCGTCCAATCGCCTTGAATTGTACCTTGAAAACAACCATCAAACCCCAATTCAAACTCAATCCCAAACTCAAATCTCAATTTAAAAAATCATAGTGAGGCTGATGGAACGAGGGGACAAAGGAGTTGGAGGTTTTCGCTTATGATCCAAAGATTGGTTTTTTTCCTTTTTCTTTTCTCTTTTCTTTGTGATTGATTGAGAGGCATTTTGGCATTTTTAATTTGATTTTTTCAGCTATCAGGAGGATGATATTGGTGGACGTGAGAATGGATTTAGAAGGTAGCAAACTAACAATGGCTTCTAATAAAAAAAGGTGGTATCAGATATGAAATTAAATGAGGATGATTAATCCTATCTAAGCAAGAAAAGGATATTTTAGTCAGTATATACAATATTTGTGGGAAATTTTACAAATATGAAAGATGTGAGGGGTATATATGTAAATACCCAATAAAAAATTATATTCATCCTAGATTTCTCACCGCCAGCGAGAAAAAGGGCCTTACTAGCAAAATGGATTGAAAAAAAATCTTAATGTAGTCGGAGCAAATTAAAATAGTAAATTAATAAACATGGTTGAAATAAGATGCCGATATAGTAATTTAGCCAAAATAAAAGATCTGAACAACTCTGACCTCATTGTAATTCTCTTTTCACAGTACATCTCCTTCCTCAATTAATAAAGTGTAATATCTGAAGCTACATAAAATTGGCAAATCAGTCATCCAACTCATATTGTTTTGAAATGGGACATCCATACGATGGAATTATGATGTAGAGTGAACTACAGATGAATTTATGGGGAAATTGGATTGTTAGAAGTCCAAACGAAGCCTTGCAAAGAAATTTGATTTGCAACAAAGAGCGGGTCATATCTCCCAAATCATGTGTGGGAGCTAGAAAAATAATACATGAAAATTGTGTATTTCTCGAGAAGGAGTCAAGCAAAACCCCCACTGTTTGGTTTATCATCGTCTGTTTCAAAAAATTCCCTCTGGATGGAGAGATATCAGACTTTTCGTCATTTTTACTATTTTTGGGTAATGTTTTAGGAGTCTGCTTTGATTAGGAAACAAATTCGGTTTGATTTAAAATTTTGATAGATTTATTTCATCAATCATAGGAAGTCTTCTAGTGCTAGTCTTTTTTTTATTTCTATTTCTTGTATAATTTTAATCCTAGAAGGAGTTTAGTTTGTTTTCTATTTAAACAAAGGATTGTAAGCCCTAAAAGTATAACTTTTTATTAATAAATTATCTTTTATATTACTTTGTGGATTCGAGGTTGTTTCTTCTTAGATTCAAAGATTATTTTTTTTTTTGTGAATCCAATGAACACCCCTGGTGGATTCTGAGGGTTTTAACTTTGGTGTTGCGTTAAATTGTGCAGTAGTTTTGTTTGTACAATTTAACGACATGGGGTTGTTTTCATGAGAAGAAGGATCTCTCCGAAAAGAAAGAGGGGGCTAGAAGGAGGTGCTAGCTAGCTAGGTGAACCTATCCGCTCCCCCATGAAAAAACATACATTGGCGCCTACGTACGTGGATCTATCTTACTAAAGAGTTGGTGCTCTTAATTCTTTGGCATCTCCTATATCAGGGAGGGAACTTGTTTTCTTCCTTTTGTGATCCTTTGTCTCTGTAGGTGAAATTGGAGATGATGGATGTGACCAACAGTGGCACTTATCCTTTGGTTGCGCAATGACTTCAACGTACATTGACTCGAGTAGAGCGATTGAGGGAGGCGTCCACTTGTCACTATTTTGTGAGGGTGGCCATTTGCAGGCAACTTCACGAACATGTATTGGACTTCTGATCAAATCCATCATCGAGAAAAAATTATCTACCAACCTTCTACTAGTTTTTCAACTAAACTCCAATCTGAGTATTCACAAAAATTAACACCTGAGTTTATCTCTCCCTTAGGAGTTTCACGGACTACGAGAGGCGACAGACGGTGCCGATCGATAATGGTTCAATGGTTATTGGTGGCTGTTAGCGGATTGACAAGGAACTATTGTAGTTGGGGGGTCGTGAAATATATATAGTTGGTGGTGGCTGACCGCTGCAGCGAGAAACAGGGGCATAACAGGAATAATAAATAGAAAATAGGAGTACAAATGGTAATAATTAATAAGCATTCCTTACATTATTGTTGTTTAAAAGGCCATTTGGTGTAATTTTTAAAGAAGTTATTTATAAATACGTGTGTTGGAAATCAGCTAATTACCAGTTTGGTATTTTTTAGATTTATTTTACCACTAGGTTATTTTAAATAGGCAACTCTATAAAAGGCATTTTAAATGAATCAAAGGTGTAACAAGACCCATATTTTCACCGACAGCTAATTTCTATCGAGAAATCTTTTTTTTTTTTTTTTTGCTAGATAATTTTTTTCTCCCTCAATAACCTCCCAAAATTTTTGAATCTGCATCTAACCTATCATAATACGGCAAAAGAGACTACACTTTTGTGAAATTGACCCTTTAAAAAGCCTCATTTTTTTCCTATCAACGCTCCATCTATGATTTTGAATAAGTTTAAGGGTTTAGGGGTATATCCTATTGATAATTTGAGAGATCAGGGAGATATCCTATTGATAATTTAGCCTTTAGCCTTTGAAACTATTTAAAAATAATATCCAAGAAAACTTAAAAACGAAATTAGTATATGCTTTCCTCACATGAGGAGAAAGGTTAATAAATAAGAATAACCCCAGTACGTACTAAAAATGGAATCCAATCACCTGAAAAGGAGGAACATGCGTCAGCGATCTAGCAGTCGGAGGCAGTTGAATGACAAAACCTCGGCAAGTACCTTTAAACAACAAGTGGGAAACGTGCTCTTCCTTTATCAAATTAGGGCATCCAAACTCAAAAAAGGAAAATAAAGAGGGCTCGCTAGAACAATATCTAATTTAACAAAATATCCCCATTTCTAAGTTTGAGATCTGAGAGAGAGAGAGAGAGACGCCACCAACCAAGAAGCCAGTCTCAGGTGCTGCTATTATCTCCTCCATCTCCTACTCTAATTTGTTTCCCTAGATCTGATGCAGCTAGCTCATGTATTAGTTGTTTATAGGATTCTTGATCGATTAATCGACATTCGATTAGCATGGGGAGGGGAAAGATTGTTATCCGAAGGATCGACAACTCGACGAGCAGACAAGTGACCTTCTCAAAGAGGAGGAATGGGCTGCTGAAGAAGGCTAAGGAGCTGGCGATTCTTTGTGACGCTGAGGTTGGGCTCGTGATCTTCTCTAGCACCGGCAGGCTCTATGATTTCGCTAGCACCAGGTTATGTTATGACAGCCGCCACCCTTTTTCTATCGTTTGCCGTCGCTTCTTTCGTATTTATTTTATTGCTCAAAGGAAGTATAGACATACTGTTTTTGTGTTCCATGCATTAATGAACATCACATCTTCAAATATATGTTCGTTCCCTGGTTTCTCGTTACTATATATGTTTGCTGAAGTAGCTAGGATTTATTTCAGTAGGGACTTGCAGAAAGAGAGAGAGAGTTCCTTTGACTGGATCAGTATTCATATTTTAACAGCATGTAAGCAAGCTGCTCTTTGTTGACAGGAAACCGAGGAAGCATATGTAACAAGTGAAAAAGCAAAGGCCTGGTTGGAAGGCAACGCAGTGACAGTCTTGAGTTAAGAGAGGGGAAAAAGAAAAAAAAAAAGAAGATGTATTGGACTAGTGGGTTTACTAATTAACATAAAAGTGTGGAAAAGAGAAGAGAGATCATATTGGAAGAAGGCCACAAATGTTTGTGTCGATGGAGATTACTTGTGGGAAACTACATATTTTATAATATTTCATATAATTAATGATGGCTTTCTCTAGGGGAGATATTTTAGGTAACTTCACCCTTCACATTCTTCACACTAACCATGATTTAATGGCTTTAGTAGTTTTAGGAATATTTCACGACATCACAAGATACGCGGCATGTGTCTTGTGATATCTTTTACCCCCTCCTACATATGCTGGATTGCAAGCGAGGGGTTGCACAGTGGCGATTGAGCGCGGGTGGAAGAAGGTTGAACCGTTCCCTTGTTAGACCTTTTGTGTAAAAATATCTGCAAGTTGCAGATCAAAAGGGGCATAATGAGCATGGTGAGCACAACAAGCAAGTAATCCCCAAATGAAGTGGTGATCAATCTCCATGTGGCAGGACCCGACATAAAAGATCAGATTGATTGCCACACGAACTGCTGAAACGTTATACCAGTCAACCTTTGTGGGGAGTGTGAAGTGAGACTTAAATCTCTAAACAAATAGCATAACAAATGAAGCTCGATCGGCGGAAGCAGTATAGAAAGAGATAAATATTAAGACACAGCGGCCCATCTTAGGCTTACCATATTTCTTTGAATCTTAATTTGGAGTCCTCACAAGCATGTTTGATCCAAGAAAAGTATAAGCTCTGATGATTGATGATCTATCATACGAGAATCAGCAGCCTAATGTGCATCAAATGAATTTAGAAGAGTACTGTTGATGGATGGGTAAAAAGAAAGACCATGACAATATCTCAGTGATGTATCAGAGGATTCTTTTTTGCTCCCTAGAGAGGTGTAGTCCGAATATTTTGCATGATGACAGACTTATCTTACAGCAAAGACAATAAATCGGTTGTAGACGCGAATATAATTCATGTATTAACAAATCAAACAATGATAATTCAAAAGATTAATACACCATCGCAAACATGCATGTTACACTTAACTACTCAAGCACAATTCAAATAGTTATGTATGTACATTTATAACAACTGAAATAAGAAGACACATAAACTCTTACCTCTTTGTGTCTAATTCTGTCACTTGCTTCTTAATAAAATGCAACTTGTTTAGGGCCGTACCATACATAAATCAACGTAAAACTTGTTGCGCGCAGCGGAAATTTCGGCAGCACTTCGGCAGCACAACAAGAGAGTCAGATCGCAATAAGAATTCTCGTCTCACCAAGGAGACAAGAATCTGAAGCGGATATCTCAACCAAGTGAGATATCGGCTCTTCCTCTCATCAGTTCTAGGACTGACCTGTCGAGGGATCCTAAAAGCTATTACAAATCACACAAAAGCAGTACAACCAATTTTACGTGGTTCGGCAAATTGCCTACGTTCACGGGGCAAGGAGGGGGGAGATCTACTAATAAAGGGAGAGAATACAACTAGGGTTTACAATCACTCAATCTAAACCCTCAAACAAACTCTCCTTGCTACTCTATGCCCTAGAAACAAATAGTATATATATAGGCTTGTATAGGCTATTGGGTGGGCCTTTCACTTTGTCCGCTGGACAAAACCAACCAAGGCCTTTCACGTTGTCCGCTGAACTAATCACATGGTCCCCACCTTCACGTGTTCACAATTCTCCACCTCGGTGAAGTTTTTCCAAAACTGAGCCGACACCAAAGCAACCAAATGTCTCACTTATTGTGACCAGTACGAACTCAATCCGCAACAAGTCGAGAACCCGAACGAGAGTCCAAACAATCTCACCCCCATCAAAATCAACTAATCCAAACCGGCTGCATCTGAAAGACTGCCTACGTATCCTCTTGCCCAAGGAATCAAGCCGAACGTAGTTCATCCAAATGGCCACCAACGGCCTCAACAATCACGAATATGCAACAAGTTTCGACAATGAATAAACTTGTTGCTCGGAACCACCTTAGTGAGCATATCTACCGGATTATCCTTCGTGTGGACTTTCATAATCTCCACATCACCATCTTCAAGAACATCTCGAACGAAGTGATAACGAACATCAATGTGCTTCGTCCGCGCATGAAAAACCTGATTCTTCACCAAATAGATAGCACTCATGCTATCACAATAAATAGTGACGGACCTTTACGATATACCAAGTTCCTCCAAAAGTCCTCGAAGCCAAATAGCCTCCTTCACAGCCTCCGTAACTGCCGTATACTCTGCCTCCGTCGTAGACAAAGCCACCGTCGACTATAAGGTGCATCTCCAACACACCGGCGCACGGGTCAAAGTGAACACATACCCCGTCGTAGACCGGCGCTTATCCAAATCTCCGGCATAATCCGAATCAACATAGCCAATGCATAGCTGCCCACCTTTAGTGTCCCGCTCATAAACCAAACCAACATTGAGCGTACCTCGAATGTACCTCAAAATCCATTTCACAACGTCCCAATAACCCACTCCTGGATCGTGCATGTATCTCGATACCATGCTCACCGCCTGTGACAAATCTGGCCTCGTACATACCATTGCGTACATCAAGCTCCCAACCGCACTCGCATATGGAGTCTTCGACATCAACTCACGATCATAGCTGCCCACCTGTAGTGTCCCGTTCATAAACTAAACCAACATTGAGTGTACCTCGAATGTACCTCAAAATCCATTTCACGGCGTCCCAATGACCCACTCCTGGATCGTGCATGTATCTCGATACCATGCTTACCGCCTGTGACAAATCTGGCCTCGTACATACCATTGCGTACATCAAGCTCCCAACCGCACTCGCATATGGAGTCTTCGACATCAACTCACGATCTTCAACTGACTTTGGTGAAAGACCAGCTGAAAGCTTCAAATGGGCTCCCAATGGTACACTAACTGGCTTCGTATCCATGCTAACATGGAATCGCTGTAGGACCTTCTTCAAATAAGCCACCTGTGTTAAACAAATTCTACCATTCTTCTTGTCTCTGTCGATCTCCATTCCTAGAATGCGTTTCGCCTCACCCAAGTCTTTCATCTCAAACTCATTTGAAAGCTGAACTTTCAACTCATCTATGGCCGACCTGGAAATAGAGGCAACCAACATGTCATCGACATAAAGTAACAAATAGATGTACGCACCTCCTTTCAACTTGCGAAAATATACGCAAGGATCAAACTGGCTCCGAGTGTACGAATGACCAAGCATAAAACCATCAAATCGCCTATACCACGGTCGAGGAGACTGTTTCAAACCGTATAGCGATTTCTTCAATCTGCAAACCAACTTATCTTTCCCTGCAGCTCGGAATCCCAATGGCTGAGTCATATATATTTCTTCATCAAGATCACCATGAAGAAATGCCGTCTTCACATCCAACTGATCTAACTCTAAACCATACTGTGCCACCAAAGCTAGCAAAATCCGAATCGAAGAGTGCTTCACCACCGGAGAGAAAACCTCATTATAGTCAATACCTTCCTCTTGTGCATAGCCCTTCGCAACTAACCTAGCTTTGAACCTCAATGGAGTGCCCTCAATGCCCTCCTTCTTCGTGTATACCCATTTGCAACCAATTGCCTTCCGCCCCTTTGGAAGCTCAACCAGCTCTCATGTATCGTTCTTATGAAGAGATTCCATCTCCTCCTGCATAGCTACCTGCCACGAAACAGCTTCCGAACTCTGTTTGGCCTCTCTGAAAGTAGTAGGTATCATCTCATCGATACTCTCCACCGGAAGTGCATACGCAACTGTGTCAGCATACCGTGCTGGCATCTGTATGTTTCTCCTCTGTCTCCTAGCCGCAATAGAATCCTGAACCTGAGCCGTCGGTCCCTGATCCTGCTCATGAGTACCCGTATCCTCCGCATCACCGTCGTGCTCGCCTGACGTCACCTCAGTCGGCACCTGCATGGATACTGTACCATCTGGACAATGTGGAGCTGCATCGATCTCCACCACCTGATATATCTCCTCCGTCGGATCGCTCTCCACCTGATGAGAGCTAGGAAGCTTCAAGATAGAAGCCTCATCAAACGTGACGTCCCTACTCAGCACAATCTTCTTATCAACTGGATCCCAAAGCTTGTATCCCTTGACACCACGCTTGAATCCTACAAATATGGCCTTCCTAGCTCGAGGTTCCAATTTATCAGTTCTAACATGATAATATGCAGGGCACCCGAATACCTTGAGCTGGTCATAGTCATGTGCTGGCTTTCCCGACCACATCTCCATAGGGGTTTTCCCCTCAATCGCAGATGAAGGCAGCCTATTAATGAGGTGGCTCGCATATGTAAGTGCCTCAGCCCAAAAGATCTTCTCCAAACCACTCTGCGACAATAAGCATCGGATCTTCTCCAGTAAAGACCGATTCAACCTCTCTGCCACCCCATTTTGCTGCGGTGTATGACTAACCGTGAAGTGTCTCTCTATGCCCTCGTCTCGACATAGCTGCTGAAAGGGGTCAGAAGTATACTCACCACCGTTGTCGGATCGCAACGTCTTGATCTTTCTCCCAGTCTGCAGTTCTAATCTATTCTTCCACTCCACAAACAAATTTAGGACTTCACTCTTCTTC